TTTTTTTGTTAATCTCTAAATTATCTTTGAAACAGATAATGGTACAACACTAAGGTACAGTTGTTGCAGGATATACATTTGTTATGTTTTTAATTCATAAATTCTAAAGCTTTTTCTTTTGTCTATAGAATATTATGTCTCGTCAATATTATCACTTATAGGAGATAATAACGTGGTAAACAACACCTATTAGTCGCATTTTAGAATTGTGTTTGAAAAGAATAATTTATCAAAGGTGAATGTTATTGAATATTAATAGCATATAATCTTACTAATTGATAAAAGGAAATACTCTTAAATAAACTTCTAACATTTTTCTAATTTTCAGACTGTTTTGAAAAATGAATCGGATTTTGTTCTTCTTATTCTTTGTTAGTCTTATAAATATTAATGTGGCTTTGCGAACATTTATGAGAGGTCGATACAGAAATGGTAATTTAGGTGATCCAATTTTATCAAAGGAACAAAAATTGCCAGAAGAACAATGGTTTACACAAATATTAGATCATTTTAACCCAACCAATGCACTTGTTTGGCAGCAGGTAATATGAAAAGTCTCTACAAGCATTTTTTAATACCTATATTAACATATTTAATTATTACAGAGATATTTTGTAAATGGAGATTACTATAAAAAAGGAGGTCCAGTATTTTTATTGATTGGAGGTGAAGGTCCTGCTTCAGCTAAATGGATGGTGGAAGGTCAATGGATTGAATATGCCAAGGAATTTGGAGCTCTTTGCTTTCAAGTGGAACATCGTTACTATGGAAAAAGTCATCCTACTTCGTAAGTAATAATATTTGTTAATTATTACATATGAATGTTTAAATAAACTGTATTTTATTATGCATATTTTGATTTATAGAGATTTGAGTGTAAAAAATTTGGTCTACCTTACATCGCAACAGGCACTTGCAGACCTAGCTTACTTTGTCAAAAATATGACTGATAATTATATGTTAGTAAATGATACTAAATGGATTGCATTTGGAGGATCATATGCTGGGTCTTTAGCTGCATGGTTACGTGTTAAATATCCTCATTTAATACATGGAGCAGTTTCCACAAGTGGACCACTGTTAGCTAAAGTAGATTTTCAGGGTAAATATAAAAGGGTATCTGCTTTACTGAAAAAATATTTTGTACTAACAAATGTTACTTGCAGAGTATTACATTGTTGTTGAGAATGCAATAAAAAATTATTCTCAGGCCTGTGGAAATGCAATAGTGGAAGCTAATAAACAGTTTCATATAATGTTACGTCATCCCATTGGCCAACAAGGACTAACAAAGAAATTTTCGTATGTAGAAATAAGACTTTTTTAATAAGTTGAATATGTCACTAAAGTTGTTCTTTACTTATAGTTTATGTGATCCTATTGACTCTGGACATACAACACGCAAAGATATTTCCAATTTATATGAAACCTTAGCAAGCAATTTCGCTGGTATTGTACAGTATAATAAAGACAATCGTAATAACTCAGCAATGGCTAACATGACTATTGATAGTTCATGTGATATTTTAACAAACGAAAGTTTGGGTATTGCCATTACTCGACTTGCATTTTTAAGTAATAAAATATTAAATGCAACAAAGGAGAAGTGCTTGGATTATATGTATAATAAAATGGTTCACAAACTTCGAAATGTTTCTTGGGTTAGCGAAGAGGCAGAAGGAGGTAATTTATCACTAAACTTATTATTTCTTTTTTCATGTTTCCTTTTTTCATACTTTAATAACATTTCTTCAGGACGTCAATGGATGTATCAAACATGCACAGAATTTGGATTTTTCCAAAGTTCTACAGCACAATCAAATTTATTTAGTGATAATTTTCCTGTAGATTTCTTTATACAACAGTGCATCGATGTTTTTGGGCCCAGGTTTGATCTAATACAATTATCAATACTTCTTTTTTATTATTTGAAATAATTCATTTTCTACTTTTTAATAGGTATGACATTTATTTATTAAAATCAGCGGTAGATCGAACAAACGTATTATATGGAGCCTTAAATTTGGAAGTTACGAATGTAGTATTTGTACATGGATCAGTGGATCCGTGGCATGTGTTGGGCATTACAAAATCATTGAATCCACAAGCACCTGCTATTTACATCAATGGTAGATGAATCTTAAATACTTCACATATGCAATTTTATAAAATATTGATTTATTGTTAAAATTTACAGGTACTGCTCATTGTGCAAATATGTATCCTCCATCTAAGAATGATTTACCTGAATTGAAGGAAGCCAGAGTTCAAATTGGACAACTCATTCGTCAGTGGCTTAAATAATAAAGATATTCTCAATTTTTAATGTGATATACATAAGACTGTTTAATGATATGTGATTTTTTTCTTAACGTTTGAAGTAACAAAATATGAAAACAATTAAGTTTATTTTAAGAATTTTCTTTCAAAAAGTTATGTTTTTTTTATGCAGCTTAAATATCCTTCTGAACAATCGGGTTATACAGATATTTTTCCATCGAATGTGTTTTGTGCATTATTGAGGCTAAAACTAACATTAGATATATACTAGCATTAGTCATTCTGTGCTACGTTAAATGACAAGAATGTAAGTGTAAATACATTAAACAAGTTTGCCCATAATGGCACTATTACAATTTTTTGTGAATTATAAAGACATTAAATACATGTACAAACTTATTTTGAATATCTTACTTCAGTCAATGAATAAGAAAATATGTTCTAATTTTAGTTTCAGCAATATCGAACTGGTATCATAAGATAGAACGTATCATTACTATGTATAAATAATTCAATAATATAAACTTTAATACAAATACTTTTTTTATATTCTTAAACAAGCACCACAGCTACGTTGATTTTAATTCTGAAATGGACAACGTCGGCCTTTCCTTAACGACACTTTTCTTACATATCTTGCTACAGAAATTATTTTAACTCCTTTAAGGTGAGGCCAAGGTGTTCATATCAGATTTTTAATTTTGTTAATTACAAAATTTTCATGAACATCGTACTATTATAAATATCGTTGTAACCAAAAATTCCTATAAATACCTCTTAGAAATTGTTTGATCAGTAATTAGTAATTATATTACTTTCTCATTTTTTGGCATGTCCTTTGATCAACTAGTGATCCTCCTACATTCACAAACAATTCTCCCCTCACTTATACTACTGCATATACTGTATTTACATTACATAACAAGGTGGTTGTAAATAATTTACTGTATAACAGAACAATAAATGTAAAATGATCTTGTTCTATATCTTGTCCATAAATCACGCTGAAGGTTTCCTCTACGCAATACCTCACATTCACCACGTTTTTTTGAATTCTATTTTAGAATTCGCTTTGAATGTACTATTGTAGGCAAAAAGTTTTTAATTCGACACAGTAACTACCCAAAAGCAATTATTATGTCTTAGAGGTACAAGATATTATTAAATATCTTCATATTGCATAAAACAAATAATAAGATGATAAATTCTTGGTTTTTATAAATAAGAGAACATAACCAGAGAACCAAATGTTGTCTGGAAAAAAATGTTTAATCAATACATAATCTGAAAAAGAGTTACATTTATTGTAGAAAAACTAGTCATTTAATTTTTATATGAAAATGTGTGACACAGCGTTTTGTCATAATTTTGCAAGGGACATAGAGAAACACCATGCTCAAGATCTGAGCAGAGAACATGTTAATTATAAAAATAACAAGTTTAACAAAATGAAAAGTATGCCAAACAAAAAAACGGACCATACTATCTTCTTGACACGACGACTAAAGGTTGATGATATGTTATTTAAGAATAATTAAGTAGTAAACAAAACAATCGCTAAATAACTTTAACTTAATGAATTTATTAATATATAAAAGGAAACCAACTTGTTTATTTTCTCAGAGATTCAAGGCTCTCACAACTTAGTACATACAAAACAATTCTCATTGTTGAAATTTTCATGTACAAGTTGTATTTTGTTTTTTAAATCATCCTAACATATTAATGATATTACATAGGTAGTAATATCAGAATGTTATTTAATTCTCTGATGAAGCTACAATATTAGAATAATTTTTTCAAGAGACAGTTTATAATTAGACTCAAAAACTTCAATAATAAGAGCTGTTTATTTCTTTCTGCATTGCTTATGAAATTTATCAACTTGAACAAATTTCTTTCAATTATTTTCAGTTCGTATCAGTTACTCTCCAAACGTTTTATTCTTTTTGTTACCCACCATTAATAATAAATGAGAATTTTTGTTTTCTCATAATTTCCCTCATGAAAAATTAATATCATTATCTCATCTGTCTTAATCATCTATATAGTAATATTTTGTGCCTCTAAGATAGTACCCCTTTATTTAGCTTTGTGTCACTATTTGATTAAAAACTTTTTGTCAGAGTAGTAAGTTATCATAAAAGCTTTCGTGCAATCCAATCATGATTCACTACAGTATTGATTTGTCAAATTTTCAAACAGGACTCTATCTAGTAAATCCGGCGTTTAATATCTGTGATGAGATTGAGATTGCCTCCACTCGGGTGTCGAGTTACCATGATGATGGTGGTGGTGGTGGTGATGACGCTTCTTGTCGGAAATGCTCGCGTGTTTGCTGGACGGGTAAGTGGCCACGTCGCTTACAACTAATTCTGAGCCATCTCTCTCGGTGTTGTTGTTACTACCACGGTAGTTCTCTCGGTAGCCTGGTTCATCCAGGGTTTCTTTACGACGAAGCGGAGGATGACCAGCTTTCTGCCCTGCAGTTTCATGTAGATTCTCCCAAGCCTGCCGGTAGTATCGGTTCAAACCACCCCGACTTTCAGAAGAACTACTACCGAAACTGGCCACGGTATTGCAATCAGGAGATGCACGATGCCTGTAGTGCTTGCTGCTTCCGCCACGATTTCTAAGCGAGTAAAAAAATTAAGTATTTATTACCTCTGAATCGGTGATATAATCATTTCCTCCTCTGTCATTGTCTGTTAATATAAGTCTTTTTCTAAAGGAAACAATAAGCAGTATGCAATTAATTGCGTCATCGATTCGGTTTTTTATCATTTACATATTTAAGGACAATGTTAAACATGTTAATCAAGTACTCTACTCGTTTTATAGAATATAATGTATATACATTGTATACAAATTATAAATACGTTGAGTCATTTATAGCTTTTATGAGTTTTTATAGTATATAGCAAGCATTTTTTAAGAGTTTTTGATTTATTAAATTTAATAATAAATATGAATTTGAAAATCATCCCTTCAAATCTCCCTGGAATGTTGAGAAATTGAATTTTGAAAGAGGAATGAAAGTTTCAATATTAATTAAAATAAAACGAATTTTTTAAATTAAGTTTTTCGTAAGTCTAGAGTGCTAGATTAATTATACTTTCAGAATTTTGTTGAAGAGAATAAATTCTATAAGAATTACCCCGTGAATACTGCAGACCAACATTTATATTGGATAGCATTGTTGTAATTTTATTTAGAAAACCAAATCGATTAGAACTTACAATATGTAATACATATTTGGGTTATGACTATGCTGTTAAGAAAAAGTACAGCAACTTAGTACATATATTACAATCCATCACCAAGCTGAAGATGCAAGGAGCAGAAAAAATGTAAACAAAGAAATATGATTAATCCTTTGTGATTTTTTCAGCATTCATTTGTATGGTTGCATTTTGATAAATGAATCTATATTTATTAAAAGGATTTAAATAAATATAGTTATTAATCATAATAATTTGAAAGAAAATTGTAAGTATTAATTTAAAGAAGCCAAAGGCAAACGTCTATTAATACTGTATTCCTTATTGACAATTTATAATAACTTAATAAGGATGAGATGCATTTTATTTAACAATCAGATAACAGTCTTGTAAATCCTTTTTTATAATTACTTATATGAGTGTATAGTGATACAAAGATGTTTCATATTATTTCTTTTTTATATTTATTAGATAAATAGTTAAACTACAACTACCACTAGTTCAGTTTTTAACCATTTATACAAAATGTATTAATTTGTAATATAAGTAATGAAGTGATTTTTTCGTTTCCCGAGCATTTTTATTCGTTTGAACATTCATTTCCGTTTTCTTTCAACATTGCATTTATTAAAACTATAAATGATTAAAAAATCGCATTTCTTAATTTGTTCGATTAAAAAATATCAAATACCAAAGAATATTAACTATCGTATAAATATTAAAATTGCCTTGTTTGGAGTTATTTTATTCTCTCACTATGAACTTCTGTTGTCCTACAAACTTCCCTGTATAAAAGACGAATCTCTGCAAATTAAATATATTTTCTTCAAACTGAATGGTGCTGTATCTTAGTTGAATGGTGGTTCTACTGTTATTCGCAAAGGATGTCCATAATCAAGTGACTTTTGGGGTCATACCAGATTCAATTGTGTGCGAGGGTGAGGATAACAAGATTCCAATCTCATATAAAAAAAGAAGATAAACTAAAAATGGCTAATCACCTTACTGCCACACGAAACATATAAATCGACACAGCAAACTACAGAACTTGATAATTGTTAGCGTCACTCTCATTCCAAGTCTAGCACTTTCCAAAAGCACGATTGTCGACCAGAGACTCCCTTCGTTGGAGAAGCTTTAGGTACTTCAAGAAGTGCATGACCCCTGTGCATTCGAGAAGCCCCTAATCGGTGAGCTGGTGAACGAGCTATCGCTATCAGTGCTCATTATTAAACCTTGCTCGTTTACCTTGACTAGTGGGTGACGCATGGGCGGTTGTAGTGGTACGTGGTGATTGTTGATGTAGTGGTGGGCGGTGGTTGCGTGGAGGGTAGAGGGCGATGGTGGTTGGCTGTATATATATAGGGGGCTATGGTTGTTAAGAACTAGAGGGATGGGTTGGAGAAATATCCAGCGCGATGGGCCGCCGAGAGACCGAAGGAATAAGGATGATCGGTGCCGCGGCGAGCTGTCAAATCGCGGCGCCCCAGGTGCTGGTCGGGGAAGGGTAGCGCCAGTAGCGTATACCAACGCGAGGGCATTCCAGTTTCACCTCTTCCAAGGCCACCACTACCGCCACCCCTCAACGCACCAACCCCACCAAGCCCCCTGCGGCGCCTTCCTCTGACGCTGCTACTGCCGCTAGCCACCGCAACGCAAACGGGCTCAGTGTTAATAGTTATTCTTGATCTACCAATTTTCATTTCATCAATTGATCTAAGAGTACCAACTTCCTTTTCTTTTTTTTTCTTTTTCTTTTGTCTTTACTTTATCTTTCTTCGTTTTCCCTGTTTATTTACTCTCATGCTTAACTCTTCCATTGCTTTATCGACAAAGGGTAATTTCATTGCAATGGTATGCTTATAAATTTTCTTCGTAGCATTATGATTATATATCATGCAATGGAAAATATTAATTTCCAGTTGATCTTTCTTGATATTAAATGAATCGTGTGTTCTACTTTATTAATTAATTATGTATGTGGTCCATTTACTTGATACAATATTAACAGAGAAATCGTTAAGTTTGTTATGCATTAATGTAGCAATGAAAGGGTTAATTTAAATGTCTTTATTGAACTTTGTGATTATTCTTTTGTTGAATTTGCTTTTTAGACTTATTTAAATCTATGGATATTAAGAAATTCGGATTGTTGTTGAGTAAATTGTTATTTGCTTTTGTTTCGTTGTCGATATTCGTTTAAAATAGTTTTCCTCTTAACGTACGATTAAGATTTGATTTTAGACTAGCGGTCGAAAGTACGGTCGAATCGGGATCAGTCATAATCTAGGATTTTACCGAGACATTCGGCGTTGAACGATCAGGAACAGTTAAATCCTGTTGCAGTCTTTTTCATTTTTGTTTGTTCAGTTGAGAATGTCGTTCTATAAGCTTCTGCAGAATTTCCAAAAGGAGAAATTTTTTATTGTGTACTGTCATCTGATTGATGAGAACTTAAAATTTATAAACATTTTCGTGTGTCCTAATATTCGTTGTGTACGAAATCGTATAATTAGTTATAATTTTACATCATCACCGTACTACGACCTCTAGTGTGAATCAGATTTTTACTCTACAGAATGCAATTGCTTTCACGACACTGTCTACCAGATAGGCATTACGAAATAAAATTCTACAATAAGACCGTGAATTTTTGTACACTAGAAGAACTGATCATGTAAACTTTGTTACATTACTTACAGCGCTCAAGATGTATACATTACAACATTTCATGAGAAGGTGACATGAAAATAGTAAGAAGACAGACAAAGATGTAGAGAACAGTTTAAAACAAATGTAGAGCAAGCCATACAGTATACACACATAGAGTCAAAGATAAAATATATTCTAAATATCTATATAGAAGTTAGCTATGTATAATTTATCCACGAAGTAATGCCTGTTAGGATAGTCTGTAATGCTACAGTCTTTACAAGAATTAGGTCTAAGTATTATGCAATGTTCCACTTTAAAATCTAAGATGAGAATAATGTAACCTTCACCTATAATATATTTATGATATTCACAGAAATATCAGTAACAGCTATAAATACAGAAAAATCAGTCTTTTAAAGAGGTACACTGTTCCGAATATAACTTGATTGTTTTGAAGTTCATTTTAAATCATTTAAACATAATTATAAAATATTTAAATATTAACATAAAAGTGAATTTATTACACTTTAAAAAAAATTCATATGAAATTCTTACATTTAAAATTATGCTTTTTCGAGAAAGTATTTATAGAATATGCGGCAGTGACTGAAATTTATCGCGAATAATGTTTTATAAATGATGTAATATAATTAATACCCAAAGTGCATTGCAAAGTCACAATGTGAATATATTTTCTCTAATGTAGAACTATATTAGGATAGTCTGTACATCTAAACTTTAAGGATAAGATCAAATAGATTTATATTGTAAAATTAAATCTCTAATAGTCTTGAGCAGCTTTTGATTTAAATATTAACATCCAAAATATTTCCTTGAAAATATACAACAGGCATCACCTTTGGAGGTACATTTGTAATATGACCATAGAAATAAACAAAGGAAGTATACTAACAAAAGAACTGAACAAAGCTCCAAATTTTGATGATTAAAGTTCAATATTATTGCAAAATTACTTCAAATATTAACAAAGCAAAGGATCTCTTGGCTTTCTTAATTATGTCTTAATTTTTCAATAATTTTTTTCTTTTTACTGTTTGTTTAATTAATTCTATAAACATTAACATTCGCATTTTACACTAATCATTTTCTTAATACAATATCTGACCAATAAAATGAAATTATATCCATTGTTAAACAGAAGAACTCAAATGATGTGGTTTGATACGTTTAAACATATTTAAAATACAGTTCTTCACCACACCTTAACTATTATTATAAATTCTATACATGATTATAATAGAAATATATCATCCAATATATTCAGAACACATACACGTATTTATAATTTCATTTTATCACTGAAATACTAAATTGAATGTAATAACACAACTAAAGTACATTGAAGTAAATAACAAAACGAAGGTAAGCAATAAAAAGGAACAAAACTGTAGAAAAACAACAACGATGAAGAATCATTATTTGAGGCTTTGTTTGCGTAATTAACCCCTGCATTTTGCATTAGGATGCAGTATTGAAAAAAAATAGCTCGTTCCAATCGTATACTTCCCTTGCAAGAAAGAGGCTGAAGTCGGAGGCTACCATTTCATTTGAATGATTTACCTGCGTATGAGTATTACAACTGTAGTGATCACTGCTGCGAGGAACACGAAGCCGCCAAAGACGCCCAGTGCGATCACTGCGCCCAAGTTTAATTTCGCCTGATGGGTGTTGTTCGGTTGATCTCCGCTGTCTACTCTAAACGGCCCTGAGGGTTCTGGCACGCCGGTTCCGATGCCAACTTGCGCATTGTCCACGCCGCTTCCGGAAATCTCGTTGTCTTGAGGATGATCGCTGCTCTCGTCGTTGAGAATCACCGGAGGCGCGGCTGCCGGCCGTTGTAAACCAACGTTCGGCTTCCTGGGGATCGTTTCCCTGACCGTTGCCGGCAATTCACCGGTGCTAGCAACTTTTCGAGGCGGAACGGTGGTGGTAGTGCTCGTGGTAGTCGTAGAACGCACCTTTGGTGGCAGGAACGTGTGGCGTGTCCTGGCTGTCGTTGGCCGTACTGTTATCCTAGGAGAAACGGTCACTGTCGTGCGAGGTTCCTCTGTAACATAGAGATTAAGTTCGTAAGTACCCATAGAAAACAGACGGTAGTGTTTAAGTAAACGAGCTGTCATTTTGTTAGCCGAAAACTCATCGGCAGTATAGTAGTCAGTATTCTCGCCAGTTCTGAAAGCTATATTTAAAACAATATTACTCTACAAAATCATGAAAACTAGGCACGAAAAATTAATGTCTTCTGTTTAGAATAAAACGATTATCCCTAATATGATGTATAAGTGCACACATGTTTCACTGAAAAATCAGTGTCACACAATCATCTTTGAAAAAATAGAAAGATCTTACGTGAAGCTTCACAAAATTTGATATCGAAGATATCGTAGACAGTTGAAATGATACTAATTCTTTCCACGATGAATTCTTTATTTTCTCAGACAAACGTGTAATTCTCATTGTTTTGCTTTGGTTTTTCATTAAAGTATACCGTAGGTGCATTCGTCCTACGTTCGACGACTACACACTTCATTGTTTTAGTTTGTTGCGCGCACAACGAGAGATTTTTCAAATTAAATTCTACAGTTAACAGGTTGAGGGTATACCTGTACATGTTGGTGCAGCATGATCGTACAATCCAGTAGGTAGACACAGTATTTGCCTAAATCCAGAGAGTCTGTAGCCCTTCTCGCAAGTGTACGTGACGATACTGCCTACTAGCAGGCTTCGGTTCAAACCTCCCTTTCCTGATATCGTCTCAGTCTCGTCGATCTCATCTATTTGAATCTGACTGTGCGGAACGGGCGCTGGAGGGTCGCACAAAATCGGCTCGCAACGCGGCGGTGGTCCATTCCAACGTTCGTCAATGTCGCAAGTCAGTCTTGCACGGCCTTTATAATTGAAATGTAAGATTTAATAATAAATTCAGAACACACTATACAATTCGGCCTATACAATGGATAATAGAAATAATGTGTGACTTAAACGAGCTCGTAATAAAATGATGCATTTTTCTCACCTACCGCGTTGAAACGGAACTCTTTAGCAATGGAAGCATTTTACAGGCAAGTTATTATTAAAATTTGAATGTAAAGAAGTATTTGGTACGTATACTTAAGAATTTAAAGAAAATACGAATAAACGAATGTATAAATTCATGCATCGAAATTTACACTGCATTTATAAAACAACATACTGGTTTTGATTTTTATAAAATAATTCTCAAAAATATATGTAATATACATTTCCTTCAGCGGTCATAGTTCATGTTCAGAAAGTGAAAGTAATTCTTAATCTCTTGGGAATATATATTTTTGAATATCTTAAGGTCTACGGTGCGGAAAAAATTGTTTAATTTATATGGTTTCGAGTTGGACAGTTAGTGGCACAAAAGATTGATAAAGAAAATCATTTGTTTAAATATTCTATGAAAATTTTGAAATGTTAATTTCTTGCTAAATAGATTCGCGATGTTGGACATTTATATTTTCTATCGTATAAAGATATTTATCAAATATTTCGATAGAATCAGAATTTTTCATAATACGTAAAATAGAGCCATGTTTTGTTTATGTTTGGGCTACATGAAATTGAAGAGAATGAATCTTGAACTCTTTTTCTTTTCCAACGTTTTAGTAATTGTTCTACGGTATACAATTGTTAGATATTTCTTCAGAGGTTTGAAAAGTGCAGTAAGCAAAATGTGATTGATATTAATCGCCGCCGTAACAACGTTGCAAAGAATACAATGCCAATTACGTAACTGGGGGCAGATTCTATCTCAAGTTAGGAATAGGAAAAAGTAAAGAAAATAATGAAAACAGTTGGACGAGGTACAAAGCTATTCATAATTTTTTTGTACGATTGAATGCTCAATTAAAAATAGCGAAAATTAAACAAATTTTTTCCTGTGCCATCTAAATTCCAAGATATTTGAAAAAGTATATTTTTCATCCCCAATGTTAAAGACTGCTTTCACCCCTTATCGTACATCTCCTATGTAAATTTCACTGAAATCAGACTTGTTAGTGTATAACGCGTCAAATTTCATAATTTCCAGCTTCTAACTTAACTACGTGTTACTTCCTAAATAAAAATTCGTCTACTTTGATTGATCTTTAAATCCCAACATCATATGTCAATGAATTTATCTAGTAATGCTACACGTGCTTAATTAACACTAAAGCCAGAAAAGTGTTTAACATATTGTATTTTGATTATTATTCTGGTAACGATTCTATTATTGTGATATATTCATATTGTATATGTTCACAGTGTCTTGGGGTTTGTGTATTTAATAAAGCTGTTATCATTTATTAAAAACAACTAACTGTACCGGCACTTTCCCTGTCGTAACCAGTCAAATAACTAGCTAAAAAATAAAGGTAAACAAGCTAGATGACGAATTTTTTTAGTGGAAACAGAAACAAAAGACAACAATTGAAAAGCTGAATAATCGTACAATAGAAGAATTGATAAAAAGTGAAATAAACGAAACAAACCACAAAATTTTAAATCCGATCATTTGATTGGTTACCGGTACAATTAGCGTTAACTCATTGCGTACTGGCAACGAGAAATCTCGTTCTTTTATAAAGACACTTAGCTATGCAACTTTGCTATTTACCTCAGCATTGAAAAAAATATAAAATTTGATTCGAATTGATTATCTATTTAAAATATATTACATAACAATATGATATCTGAATTTTTATATGTATAGTCGTATAAGTTGATCTCATCGAAAATTGCCATCCGCACAATTCAGTTTCCTGAAAATTAGTCGGTACGCAATGTGTTAATTGAAGCGAGAAGATTGCGAATGTGATAAATTGACTCTAAGGAAATCGAATTTTAAATAATGCAATTTGAAAAATATTTACTCCTATTCAAACGTTGAAGCAATGAAGCTGAATCAACTGTTTCGACTGTTAAATAGTTGCAAGGGGTAATAAACTGCGTGTGTTAAACGAAAGTAAGAGCCCCCGTATACTGTCACACGATCTTCCGCGATATCGCGTTGCGCTGTATAGTTTCGCAACAAAATGTTCACGTCTATTCTCAACAAGACACCCAAGAACATTTCGACGCGTAGAGAGCGTAAAAAACAGTTGAAAGCGATAAGAGTTAGAAACGATGCCGATGTTAATATGTCCTTTTGCATTTCTCCGGATTCGAGATCAGATTAGAAACGCCGCGGCGGGTATCGATGAACCAGAACGGATTCTCACCAGTCATCTCGTATCCTTCCTCGCAGGAGTAAAGCACCTGGCTCAGATACGTAACGGTATTGTTGATAAGTGTGTAACCGCCGTGTTTTATGCTCGCCGGATAGCCACACTCGATGCCTGAAACGAGCAAGTTTCCGATTTGGCGTCTGGACTGACTGTATACAGTATTCTCGCGATTAGCACCCTTAAATCGAGACTGCGACCGGGCACTAATTCATTATAATATGTATTATATAATAATTATAATTGTATAATTGTGCAGTGGTGTCGATTCGAGGTCGAGATAAGATCCGAGCAGAGATCCTCTGTTTGTTCTCTTTAGAGAAGGACAACGCGAATGGAAGAGCGAGACGCCCGACCTTCGTAACGATCAAAAGAAACGGATGAATGAGGGGACATTAACCCTTTGCACTCCAGAAATTTTTCATTGGAAACACTCAACATTTCCGAATCAGATACGAACGACATTCCTTCAAACTGACTTGACGAGAAATCGCACATAAATTAAGAAACGAAACTATTTTCTTTCGATATTTCACATATTGAAGCATTGTACAGAGTTTAATGTTACATATCAAACTTTACAATTTTGCTGTATCAAATCAGTCGGCGACTGAGAGGCGCCTATGGAGTGCAAAGGGTTAATACGATAAGCGCTACGAAAATCTTCACATTTTTTCTCCGAAGAGTTTTTCTTTCGTAGCAAAGAAAAGCAGAAGAATTATTCATTATTTGGCGTTACAATCCTTGCATTACATTATTATCAAGTTGATAATCATTTGATGACCATCACTGTCAATGCAACATTGGATTCTTTTTGCGATTGACTGACTTGCAAGTCTTATAGCATCGGAACTTATTGACGTACGGACTGCAATAATTCGCTGTTGCATGTCGTAAGGTGTAGTTGGTACTTCTTTGTACACTTTATCTTTCAGTGTTCCCCACGGAAAGAAATCTAGAAATCTGTCCAATCCAACGACAGTGATGGTCATCATTTCGAACACTTATTATAAACGTATGTTTCATTTACTACCAAAACCATAAATATCATCGCCTTTCTCTACTTTCTATGACCTTTAATGACCTCATGTAATAGGTCGTTGAATTCGTTTTAAGATCCTCTATCATGATACGGAAGCAAAAACATACCGATCCATTTTAAAAAATGGAGGTAACCTTCAAATGTACGAAGTACCTCCACCTGCAAAAAAACTATTATCGCCACTGGATTGCCCCCATCGTACTGTGCAATTTTATTTCAGCAAATACTTCTGTGAAACTTATAATTTCGAAGATATCTGAGGTGCTAATAGTTATTATCCCACCCTGTATACTAATCGGGAGAATACTGTATACAGTTCACGAAGACGAGACGTCTGCCCCGAGATACGTTACGGGTTTCTTACTTTTACAGACTGGCGGAAACTCGTTGTAGAACCCGGTGTCCAGACAGGTACGAGTCGACGGCCCTATAAGAAGGCTGCCCGCGTTACAGGTGTACTCTACCGTTGCCCCAACTTCGTAGGTACTCGGTGAATTACGATCCGTCATCGTGGTCACGCTCATCGTAGAATTCGGCGGCTGTTCCGGCCGTCCGCAGGCACGCGGTTCTGCAACAACGATATTATCGCAACAGTTTCTTATCGCATTACTTACCGGCTTTGAATTATGCAGATATTCATGATCCTGGAATTTGTCATTCTATACGAATAATTATTCTTATAGATGAACCTAATATTCCTGTTCATATAAGAAAAATGAAATATAATATTCCAATATATTTGATATGCCACTCACTGGGCAACTTGGTTAACTCCACTTTTCGAATTTTTGGAAATTTTACCGTCGATGCTTTCGATTGATTGTTAACTTTTCCTGTTTGAAATCAATTTCTTTGGGGTTGGATTTAGTTCTTTGAGAAAGAAACTTTGAGAAAGAATTTTAATATAGACATGTTAATGCTCTAAATTGTATCTCATTGATGGATAACAGAACTTCGTGTAAATTTATATTTTTGATAAAATTATACAAGAATAATTGATATTTATATAAATAACAATCATAAATTAAATAAAATTCTACTGCTTTACGTGTAATTTTAACAAATTCAAAATCAAGTATCATTGTATTAAATTCGATCATAGTTTGTTCTGTTTTATTTATTTTACAACAAAAATATAAACAGGGCATCTAAAGTAAAAATATGAAATAAATCAGCAATGGGAAATGTATACGAACAGTTTCAAATATTTTCTGTTTTATATATGCAACGCACATTTAGAAAAAATAGAAAGCATCTACGTAACTTGTGCCTAATTTATTTCGATAATAATCTAATAGTGCAAAGTTATTTTATGATTTTACACTTTCTACGAAGCAGATATACTGTAGAATATTTTACATTCACGTTGCATATTCATATGTTACTTTTGTCGTGAATAATGAATTCAACTTTATAAAGATATTATTCAATAAACACGGTAAGTACCTTATCGTCATTAATGTACGTTCAGTCGGCATCTGTTTCTAATTTCTAAAATGTATTTACGCTGATAAAAATACATAAGCTAATTTATATTATAATATTAACGTTGAATTTTCAAAAACTCGTAAAATAAGAATGTTAATAAACTTTAATACAGCTTCGCTTTACCTTTGTTTTACGAAAATCATTTCTGAAGAAAACTGAATTTATCATTAACATTAATTACTTTAAACACCTTTAGAAATATCTAAATTTCCATAAACTTCAATCTACTTACATATATTTACTATCACATTTACTTTATGCCCAATGTCTGACAAAGCAAAAATATTTTAATGGACGCAAAGTACTTAACTATAATAATATCCATGTAATATACACAGTCTGATAGATACCAATGGGAAAGGAAGAAATGCAGAAAAGTGTGATTCGAAAGTTGATACTCACGGTGCTGACAGATGAAATTTAATCGAGCAGTGCAAGGTGTATCGGACCAGAGCCAGCCCCTACTGCCGTCGTATCGAGCGCAATCCTCTTCCGTGCCTTGAGGCAAGCTCCAGAATGAAACTGAAACCTCTTCTCCGCTTTCTGTCCATCTCCAAATCGACCGATCCTTCTGATCTCTTACAGCGCCCATCCAATACTGGCTTGAAGTGTCGCTCCTTAAAGAAAAAAATAAAATAAGTCCGTAACAACAACCGAGGGAACAAAAGTGTTCAGTAATAGAGGAAGCGAGTCGTATATTTCTGTTAAAATTTCACAGTTAACTGGTCAAGAATAGGATCTCGAATAAAAGTTTCCGTATAAATTAGCATAAACAATAAGACTCTTTTCATTTAAGTTTATGTCGCGCGTTACCTATGACGCCTCCACAGTTCCCAAGAGATAAATCCTTGTAACGCAGGATTACTTTCATCCACCAGGGTACCGCCCCGTGCGTGACAGAACGCCAACGCTTCTCTGAAAATCATTGGCTGACGGTTGTAGAAAATGTAGCATTTTCCATTGTACGTCGCCGTGGATCCTGGTGGCTGGTCTCTGAACTGCGGACACCTCTCTATCGGAAGAGCCTAAGTAAAACGAAAATGACGACACTTAACAGTGAGAAAAGAAAAATATCATCATTGCTAGACTGTGAATTTTTATATATTTTTGTAAAATAGGCATGTAAAGATACAATGAAACAAGTAGAATAAAATTGAACGTTGTTTTCACTTCGATGCTAGCGTATCAAAGACATTGACAGAAAAATAAATTGTTTAACTTGAATCGTCTATTGTACGAAGAAAATTTGATTTTGTATGTGTATCTACAATTTAATTATCAATTTTGTGTCGTATAATTATTGAAGATCGAGTTTGTTTAGAATACCAATGTCTGATCTAGTATTATTTATGGAATTAATGTTTATTTGGTTATATAAATTAAGCATCTTTTAATAAAAATTATTCGCGTATTGAATGTATAACATATTATCAAAAATAATAGAGAAAAAACTGAATAAAAGTAGTTGTCATTATATAAACGTAAAAGTGAATATCTAGGTCTTGTTAAAAGATGCGGAATAAGAAAATTGAACTGGCTCAAGGAAGTGTTCAATCATCTTTAGTCATCGAGGAAATCTTTATACAACTTTCACCATCATCTTCTTTGTTTAGAGTATTGTCTTGCATAGCGATTTCGTTATTCCTGATTGTTACGATCTAGTGAACAGTACATTACTTTATATTTGAACGTTTATTATCTCAATAATATTTATTAACTACGTTAAATACTTTCTATTGAATTGATTAATATCGTATAAATGAAATTAACTATGTATTTAAGCATAACTTAAAAAAGATTAAAGTAATATAATTAACTAAATAATATAAAATAATAAGAGTAAAATAATACTTAGTACTGAAAAATATATTTAAATAAATATTTCTTACCTGCGATACTATGTTAAAACAAGTAAAGCTGTTTTTTATCGTAGATGCTTCAATAGTGAGGAAATGTCAATTAAAAATTGATGCACCGAAGATTTACATATATTAAAGACAGATTTATACTGAGTGAAGTCATTAACACTATCTTTCCTGAAGTTATCAGAACACATCTCTTAAGATTTGAACTTAAAATTCTTTCTGAAATTCAATTATTCTTCTCTAATTAACTTTTCAACTTCTCCTGTAGTGATTATAATATTAATTTAGTGTCAATAGAATTTATAAGACAATTTTATTCAATTACATTAAATTGTCTATTAGATTATGTTCATTTAATAGACTTCATTCAATTATCTCTTCGCGAAAATAGGTATACACAAAGAAGCGATAAAAGTAGAGTAAAACGGAGTGTTCTGTGATATTTTAAATCCTATCATCGCTGAACGCCAGAGACATAAAAATAATGAGGAAAGGTCGTATAAATGTATACCCTACTTGTCTCTGTTCCCGTCTCACAGTTGTTTGCACTCCAGTAAGTTCAGTAACTGGATTGTGGATATCACGCACTTACAGTAAACGTGATCGTCTCAGAGCGTCATCGATATTTCCTATTCGAACAGGTTCTGTTCCGTTTCGTCTGCTAATCTATGTATACACGTAATATAATCTCGAAAATCATTTACCATAAAGTATTTATATATTTTATACATCATTGGATTTATATTTAAACGCGCTAACAAATAAACTAACACAAACCATAATTTCGTTTAAAAACGTGACTTGAATACTCTACTTTATAAAACAAATTGGTCCATTCCACCATTATCTACATTTTCGTTTGTATGACCTAACACCGCCAAAATGGCGAGAAAAGAAAACGAAGAAATACATTTATTTCAGTTACAAACATTGACTGTGCTTTCTTTTCTTATATAACGTCACTATTTCGACCCCGACCAAATCGAATTACTGTAGTTCACTCAATGAAACGATGATTATTTGAAAATATTTCTATATTATAAATGCTACTAACGGCATTCAGTTAGATGTGCAGTAATAATAATGCAATTCAATCAAATGATTAAATATTATACTTTTTACATTTCGTGTATTTTGCTCTGTGAAACCGAGTGGCATTGAATGTGTTAAATATTCAGGCGTTTGTATTAAAATTTGTAACACCGAAACCATACTTCATATTGTCCATCATCGATGACTGACACGGTGTTAAATTATCTCAAAACCTATATCGATTCGTATACACTTTTCTAACAGCTGATGATCCGTCATTTTGTTTCAGGATAATTTTTGTTTTATTATTTAGCTAAAAGAAATATCAGTTCACATTCAAACTTTGCGAAGTATCATGAAAAACCTATCCTCGCTAATAAATATATTAAGGTCAGCTTAAATCAACTCAATTGTCTGAAAATGATCGGTGAGTTATTTGATTGACGAATAAGCACTTTACCTGATCGGTGTAAACGAAAGCCTCGCAAAGGGAGAGCTGCACCGGTGCAGGCGTCGGCGCGTTTGCCTCCAAGTGCACGGATACGAAAGCTCCGGGCATGGGTGGATTGCAAGGAAGAAACAGAGGCTGCCCTTCTTCTTGGGGACCAGTGAAACGGTTGCAAATTGGATTGGTCCCCAAGTCTGGGCGGTTGTTGCCCACGCGGACGACGATTGTTCCAGGTATCCCGTCGCCTGTGATAAAGAAACATTCATATTACGTATATCATAATTTAATATTCCAATGGTAATAGTGATAATATTAGTAATAATAACAACAACAATAATAATAATAATATTTAATTAAACTAATAATAATAATAATAATAATAATAATAATAATATTCGTATTATTTACAAATAACTTACAAGTGCATATTTTTTAAATACACTAGGACTTCGAGTCGCTATTTTTCGTGATCTACATTATTCAAAGTTTTGTAGCGGATACTTGTTTTCAAAATCATTTCTTTTCTGCTTTAAATCAACTTTGTACATTATCGCTTTAACGCGTTCGCTATTAGCGTCACGCATTCGTGACGCTCCCAATTTCGTAGTTCGCGTATTAAAAACAATCTTGTTTTAAATTTCATTAATAGATTAATTAACGGATTTCGTACAGAGCTGTACAATACGACCTTCGATCAGGTCAAAACCTAATAATATGAAAACTGAATTATTTAGTCTTGAAGATTTGTTATAGACGTAATAATTAATTTATTATTATTCCTCTTCTAAAGTAATTAAAAAATCTATGATATGTTAATAGCATTCTGTAACGTTTTGTAACATTTTGATTAAAGAGAATATTAAGAACCTAAATAGACGATATTCTCTGGTAACGAAGAATTGTATTTATTTCATTTATATATATTTTAATAGAACGAAGGTTCTTTACAATCGTATGTATCTGTATACATATAATGAACATTCGGATGAATGTATAAACTCGTCTGAAATAATCCGGAGCTCGGTGAGCACTACATCTTTCGACCTGGAAAGCACTTGAAGCGTAACCAGATGGACAGCCGTCGTTTCGTCCCAGCCATCACCTCCAATTACATGCTTTCCACCTTTCGTTCCTTGTAATCGCCTTTGAGATTGTCACAATTTTCTATTCAGCGAAATCGTTTGATACTTTTATCATTATTATTATTATTATTATTATTATTATTATTATTATTATCATCATCATCATCATCATCATCATCATCATCATCATCATCATCATCATCATTATTATTTACGATATGCAACGAATTTATTAAAAAAAAGTAAAGAAAGACACGATAAGGAATATACAATTACATAAACGTTGATACCCGTTGAAAATCGTTTGATACCTTTACTATTATTATTATGATTATTTATGATACAGTACGAATTTATTGAAAAAAGAAAATAAAGAAAGAAATGATAAGGAATATACAATTGCATAAACATTGTAAATATTGCATAAAAAGGCAAACGATAGTAAAGTAACGTTTAAAAAAGAAAATTAATATACAAATGAATGCAATGTGTGATAATATTCAATGGGTGATATAAAATAATTCCTTAATTAGTTTACGTATTGCATAAATATTAAATTCTATAATTATGTGGGAGTATGGAATTTAGCTAAGCATTTCGTTGGCAAACAAAGTATTATATATATATAATTCTTCTGTTCTTCAAAATTAATAAGTGAAGTCTGAAGAATACAAAGGGTTAATTATAGTAAGTAAGGAAACCAATGCAACCTGGATGAAACTATTAAAATTTCAAATATAGTATAACTATAGTGTACTTATGGAATAATTTAATTATAAGATCACTATCTATTTTGTTTCGTAGAAACTATTATAAAGTGCAGTAGACATATTGAAACTCCTATCCCACATATTTTTGCGTAAATAGGAAACCGTTTTTGAAAATAGGGAAACGTTCTGGTTAAATAGAAAATATTTATTCTGCCCTTGAAAAGTTAAAATTTTCATAGTAAATTCACCAAATAATTCATCGAGTTCTGAATGTATTTTCAGTCAAAGAACTGTAAAGTGAATTGACACTATTGAAACGCGTTTTAATATTATTGTAAAAATTCCAAATCATTCCTAAGTATAGAACTCAAGGATTCGAAGTCTTGAGAAACCACACTTTTATTATATTTTGTGAAAGTGAAGTTACTCAAGGAAACGCTACCTTAACACTGTTTCGCATGGTTAATTTGGTGAATAACTATAAATCAAGTTATCCTTTTTACGACTTCTGATCATTCGTTGCACCGAGTTCGTTTCTTAATTTTCACGATATTTGTAGTCCAGTTTCGATATTTCATCTGATTGCTATCTGACAGCATTACTATCGCACGTTTAAAGGAGACAAGACGAATGGTGGCTATACAGTATTAATGATTTCAAGGTGAATTGAAAATAAGGTTATTTTGCTTCAGCAAAAAGTCAATGAGGTATATTTATTTTCAATTCGGTGAGTGACGAGTAATATTTTTAATGAATAAGTTGTGATTACGGTAAATATTTTACTGTCTAAGACACGCCTTAACGTTGAGTACTTTTTAAGTATGCATCACGACACGCCCTAATGATGCTTAGCTCTACTTTTTAGTACATACTATAACCTAACGTTTTATGATTTCTTCGATGTGGAAACAAACGTATCGACAGCTATACTATATGTGTAAAAGTAAAGTTAAATGCTGTTTTAAATGGAAGCATTTGTTTACACCGATTTATACGATTTAAACTTGATGAGATATGTCATGGACATTAGGATGGTAGAACACAATCGTTTTTGCAAATGAAACATTCAATCGCTTAAAAAAATCACTTGGCTAAACGAGGAATTCAATTGATCACTAGGAATATGTACGTATTTTCATTGTTTAAACCAAGGATCGAATGAAACTGTTGACATTTACAAGTCAAAGTTATATATTAAATTTTTAACTTTTAAAACATTTTTTCTGTTTTTAGTTAACTATGTGGATTAACAATTTAATTTTATTGCAGGGGTTCAGTCTTAACAGTTATCTTATATTCGATTAATAGTAATTATGAGATTGAGATTTTAGTTATTTTAAATATTTTTTCAATTAGCATTAGTGAAGAAACTGAAAACAGTATAAATATAGAAGACTAAGCGTGATTTTTATTTAATAGAGTTTTATTACGAACAATTCAAAATTTCAACTTCAAATCTCTCTGTCCTATAATATTCTCGAATCTATATATCAAAATGTTAACTGTCCAAAGTAAAATAAATGTTTCTACTAAACTGAAGCTTCTCCTATTTGTAAAAAAGTGAAAGTTTCTAATTTACACATAAAACTCCTAAACAAAAGTTTCGTTACACTTTACAACAGTATTCTTGGAACAGAAAACATAGGCAAAAGCCATAAAATCATGGTAGTTTCATAACTAATTGAACATTTCAATAGTCCCATTCGTGCTCTGGTCTAAACAGTGAAACATTAGCAACATATAAAGAGCCAACATTTATTACATTATGATTAAAACGAAAATAAATGATCATTTATAGGCACACTTGATATCGTTATTGTTAATTAAGAAAGCGTTTGTTTCGACTTCAGTGCCGAAGCATAGATGATTTACGAGTGGCGAGCACGCCAACGTCCTCGAGTTGCTTCCTGTTCTACCGGAAACGAGGCAGCGAGAACCGAACTTCTGTGCAATTAAACGCGTTCGCCTAGCATTCCCGTATCATCGAGATGCAATGTGAAAGTTGCACTTTGTTCTCTTCTGGCGAGGCAGAAACGCTTGTAAAATGATTAACCAATCTGATCACGGCCGTCATTATGCGTGAGTCAGTTTGCAAAACGCGATCGTGATCGCAGCGATCCCCTTCGTGAACGTTAGCTGAATCGTACGTGTAAAAGAAAGCTGTATTATTCCAAGTGAAGTTGTTTTTATTCCAAGAAAAAGAAAATTGGGAAGGACATGCAACATCTGCGCGAAAAACACGATGAAAGTATCCTCCAGCCGAGTCGAATATTATTCGTCAACCCTTTGAGTGCTATGAGCGCATATGAGTCGCTCAGAAGTCAATGCGCTTAAGTCGATCTTTTTTATACCTTCTGATTTTTATCAATTTTAATGAAATAAATAATATTCCTTTTCGTTATTAACACTATTTCTATCGAAGTTGTCAAAAGACAGCTTCCGAAATTTTCACTTAACACATTGTTGACCGTTCACGAGTTAACTCGTGTTTGCACTTGCATTAGCTATTTCAATTTTTGATACGCCCGGCAATATAGAATGTTGCGAAAGCAAAATATTCAAAGTTACATAAAATATATGTCCAAAGTTTCATTTCAATACATTACGTACAAATAAAGTATATTGAAGTTTATTTCGATTGTCTCACTTTCATGTTTAATTACGGAATAATAACCGGTAACATGGGATAGTTTGTGCGTAAAATTGCCGGTCGACAATGCGTTAAAATTATTTCCCCAGGTAATCATTTGTCCTCAATTGAATTTTGGACATTTCCTATAATTGATTTTATAATCGTTACTCGGAAAATAATTTTAATTCAAAAATTCCAAAGGTGTGTTTTTACACTTTCGATAGCAATAGTGTTAAAGGGTTTACTCGTTTCTTCGGGTTTTCTAGGTTACAAAATTCGTCCTTTTTTGTATAGCTTCTGAATATGTTGTGTACTAATTTCAGAAGTAAAAACGTTAATTTCCTCAATCTGTCTTTTCTGGACTTAATCGCTTTGGCTTTTGAGCGATTCATACATGCGTCTAGCGAAAATCATTGCTTTTATCTCACGCCTGATGACAGTTATAAGTTTATGACATTAACACTAGAACTACTGGACAGGTCAAAATGACCGGTTCTTGGTGTCTTCTTTTTGCAATAATTGAAAATATAACATATCTCGGAGAAATTACCAAAGAAATTGGTTTAGCAACACGCGATGATAATTGTAAATTAATAGAAATCTCGGTAGACGCACTCTTACAGTTTCTACAGAAAAATTTCAAACGGTGAATTTGACTGCTTGGTAGTTTCAGTGTTAATGTACACGTTCCTTATTCTTATTCAATTTCGCAAAACTGAGGAATTACAATTACATCTTAATCACATCTAATTACGCTCTGCAAAAATTAATATAATTCATTGATATTCAGATGGCAAGCTAAGCAAAAGAATATTTCGTCCGCACGACACGTTTCGGCTTGGAGTATTCAACACTCAAACGGTTAAGGAGAAAAACATCACCTAAAGACGTCCCAAACATAGGTAAACTTTAGGAATTTTTTTGTTGATAACTATTAACACTTTGCATACCGGTTAATTTTTGGAAAACTGAATTGCGACTGGCTATTTTTAGTGAGATCGATTCACATCATTATACATAGGAAAATTCAGATATATTGTTATGTAATATATTTCAAATAGATAATCAATTCGAATCAAATTGAATATTTCTTCAAATGCTCTGGTAATTAGCGAAGTTACATAGTTAAGTGCTTTTATTAAAAACGAGATTTCTCGTTACCAGTACACGTAATGCGATAAGTGAAAATTTCTGATTTTTCCTAGGCATATGGCTGTAACCTACTTTGTTTATATTTTTTCTAAACCGAAATGTTACAAAATGGAACGGTTATTCGCTAACTTCGGAACCCTTTTTCTGTGCACAATTTTCCATTATCTTTAAGGCGTCTCCTAGCTTTCCGGCAATTGAAAATGTTCGTCGTGCTTACGTGTACCATTCGAGACGAAAGGGTTAAGAGTTAATTTTCTTAGATGAGTTTGGGTAACTTCAACCTCGCAACAGGCATGTTACCATCAAGGTATTGGTACTTTTATTTGTTCCTTCTAATAATACATTCGTCAGTGCTTCTTTCAGTGTTGATCGAATTAACACGTTGAATGCAGCACGATTTGATAGAGCAAAATATACAAAGTGGAAAAAATATAATATTAAATCATTTGATTGAATTGCGTTATTATTATTGCACATTCATCTAGCCGAACACAGCCATATTAGGTAGTATTATTTATAATATAGAAATAATTTTAAGTAATCGTCGTTTAATTGATTGAATTGCAGTAATTCGATTTGGTTGAGGAACATTGCATTAATGGATTGAAGAAATTGAGATTAATTAAAATTGCTCATATTTAGTTTACATTCAATTATTGCATACGAATATATGGAATAATTTAAATGCGAGTTCATGAAATGAAAACTCGAGAAAAAGCAAAATAATTGTTCTACTTAACTAAAACTTTTCCCATTTTTAAAAAGGTGAAAGTTTCTTATAAAAGTACCGAATAAAAGTTTCATTGCACTTTACAACCTATTTCTTAGAACAAAACAGAAAATATAAAACTCGAAGTATCAGGCCAGAGCCGCACGTACGTTTCACACGTGGCGTCTTACACATCGCGTTTTTTTTCGGCTGAACTAGAATCTTAACTGGATAGGCGTTTTATGAACGTTTTACACGCTGCACGCTACACGCCATATTCAGTAAGAATCAGTTTGGTACGAAAATGGATGTTGTGCGGCTTCGATGGCTTGCCGCTTTGTGCGGAATATTAACACATTGCGTACTGGTAACGAGAAATCTCGTTTTTGTATAAAGACACTTAGCTATGCAACTTCGCTAATTACCACAGCATTGAAAGAAATATAAAATTTGATTCGAATTGATTATCTATTTAAAGTATATTACATAACAATATGATATCTGAGTTTTTCTATGTATAGTGATATAAGTTAACCTCAGTGAAAATCGCCATCCGCACAATTCAGTTTTCTGAAAATTAGCCGGTACGCAATGTGTTAAAAATAAGGAAAAAGTGAAATCGTTGGTGATTACACCCTGTTGCATTGAAATACACTGTTCTTACTTCAGACGTCGTGTAACACGTGTAGTCCTGGCCGAAGACTCGAAAATGCATTTTTCTGACTCATTTTACTTTCCAATCAACTATCGCGACGTCGGTTGGGTAAAGCATAGAGAGAAAGTGCATCGAATACTACTTAAAGTATTCGATGCGACATAGTTACAGTTAAATGATGTTTTAAATGTTAAATAAAACTGCAGGGAAATGAAACGAAATAATAAATATTATAAATATTATCAGAAATCATAATGCATAATGACGTGATAAATTTATATTTGGTTTAACAATTATTCGCATATAACAAAATACATTGTTCAAAATAGTCATCGTTTATCCCACATTTTAATTAATTACGTTGTTAATTCCTGAGCAAACTTGAATTATACAAATATTTTGAAATACCATTGAAAACACGTTTTACAGAAATACATTATTAACACTAAAACTACCGAGCAATTACAAAGACTCAGTTCCAATTTCCTATAAAAATTAGAACACTACGTTTCTTGAGATTCGAAAGGTCTTCCAGTCTTGTATCTGTGCAAATGCATGAATTTAATTGAAAATCTTTCGCAAAAACGACTTCATAGTTTAAATACTTGTAAAATTAACATTCTGAAGTGCGTCAATTTCCTTTGTTCGGTCGTTTTAGTGTTAATATTTCAATATTCAGAATAGAGTTAATTGTTTTCTGTTTCAAGTGATATTTTACCCAGCGCAGTGTACACTTCTCGATTTTAATCGAATCAAACGTGGAACTTTAATATTTTAAAATGGAATTTGAAGTAGTTACGAATTTTTCCTTCAAGCTATTTTTCATGCTACGATTCGCAAAAGGATGGCAAATTATTTTCCTTTCCACGAGCAACAGAGTACTCTCACTCTTGATTTCCGCCTAAACGTGAACGTCCGTCATTATTATCGGACGTTTCGTTTAACGGTGAAAGTTTTATCCTTGTTTGATCAGCTGTTTTCCCGAGCAAATCTATTCAAGACACCGCGACAGAATTGCGGGAATCGTGAAATTCTGAACAAATTGTCGAGACCGTAAAAGCTTTGATGAATATTCTTATGAGACGGTTCAGAGACACTTTACAGTTATTCGTTCTCGTATGTACGAGAATTTGTCTGTCACATTTTATGGCTTTGATATACTGGGTGTCCAATTTTAATCTATAAACACAATTACTTTTAGAACCATACGTTACTTGTTTCAAATGTAAGTTTCTCTATTTTCATGAAAACGTTTTGAATGAAGTTTCGAATAAGTTTTTTTTTCAAGAAAATACTAACAGAAATACTATGATTTGAATAATTTATATATTTTTTCGTATTGTGAGAATTACGTGCAATTTTGCACTTACAAATTTTCCATAAATATATAAAAATCCGTAAAATGTTTATTAATGTACTCTGTTCTATTATGCATTCGGTATTTTGGTTTTTCATCGGGTTCTTTATACTGCGCGTAAGTAAATAGATTCATTAATTATTGTTATTAGTTACATTAATATTTCAAAGAAGACATAATCGTCTATTCAATTATTACTATCTAATCTTATAATATTTGCATGTGTGGATTAATCCAAGTATATGAAAATTACTTAATGAGTTACTTGCAATATTACGAGAAAATTGTTTCTGCGATTTCATAGATTGCGAAAGAGCAAATCTAGAAACCATTACATGAACTGGCAACACGAACTTGACGGCTTAATTGGTACGTGACAATTACTCAAGTGTAATTATTGAAGTTAAGGAAGTAACTGTAGATTTATGTATGACAGGTACTATAGGTTTATTGCATTAGACGTTATTTTCAACGAGATTGTAAATAGGAAACTTAAGATGTTACATGTGAATGACAGTGATTGATAAGAGTATGCAGGAGTGCAAAGCGATGCATCATTATTCAGCGATCAAAAGTGAAAAGACTCTCACTTTCGTTCTGGAAAGTTTCTAAATATTTCTCGCGTCCCAACAATGCTCAGGATGGGCGAATTTACGACCGTATTTTACGGCTCGCTGAAGAGACGCCATAGTTTTCTGCGTTTCGGTCGTCGGCATTTAATCCCAACGGCCAACTTTTCCCATAGAAAGTGTCCTTGTATTACCAAGTTTTCAAAAGTGCGTGAGATAAAGTATGTACGCGAAGCATTGATTCAATAACCACCTGATTTGACACAGCAAAATTAAAAGATGTGATATTTAATATTAAATTTCGTATAATATATCAATGTGTGAAATGTTGAAATAAAATAGCTTTGTTTCTTAATTTATATGTGATTTCTTTGTAAGTTAATTCGAAAAAGTATCATGTATATTTCACTGGAAAATGATGAGTATTTACAATGAAAATCTCTCACATGTTTAGAAACTTTTCAAATTTTTCGTTGTAAATCTTGATTGTAAAAATTGAAAATGCAAGTAGCTCCAGATTGTTTATTAAAATCTTTAAAGTAACCACATTAACTAAACGATTACGGTTAAGATACATTTAAAAACATTAGAGAACTATTTTAATAAAAAGTAAGCTATTTAATTTCTTTCTAATATGAATAAGATTTATTGTCGATGTTATTTTTATTAGTTTTGAAATTATTTTATTATTTTTGTTACGATCAGACGCTTTAATTATTTTCCATTTGGCTAGAAAACACTTATCGTAAGACATATTTATTGATTAATATACAAAATTTAACTGTATTACTTGAAAGTTTTTCATCATTAAAATTTATAGTCGAGTGATATAATGTAGATTTAATGAAATGTCTGAAATCATATGTTATGTTAGTTCTTATGATATTGTATACACAGAGTGCGGGTACGTTTAGTTTTAATTAAAAATGAAAAGAATATAAAAAATTCTCAATTGAAGAGGAACTGTAATAAATATACGGCTGATAGGATACACGTTGCGATTGATTTAATGGTTTTTTATCGCGAAGGAAAATTTAAAAATGATAAGTACATTTGGTCTTACTCACCGCAACATGGCTTCCCAAAATCTAATCGAACAAGTTGCACCATGTATGGCTCGAGTAAATTCACGTACCACCATGGCCTGTGCTCTGGCCTGGTCAGGGTGCAAGTTTGCGGTGTGTAAACCTGACTGCTACTTCCGTCCACTGCTCGTTGCGGAATTCCACCTTCCGAACTGCTAGACTGCATCGGTGCTTTGCCTCCGGCAACATTTAGAACTATAACAGAGAATAAAGAAATAATGTTAATCTGTCCACAAATTCTGCAGAAGATAAATTTCTATGCATCGATGATGTGCCTTGTGTTGGGTTCTTAATAAATTATACTTATATCGAATACAAAACTATTTGCCAAAAAGTTCAAATTTTTTAAAACACCCCCATTATTAATCCTTTTCGAAAAATTTTGACTATTTTTGTTAATACTTTTTTTTCGTTATCTCTCACCGTTCTCAAGATAATCCAAGGGAAAGAAAAATTTGCATTTGTTTCGAGGGGTGGTTTCACTTCTTCAAAGTGAAAAATGAAAATAACAATGCAATAATTCAAAAGTAATTTATGACTTTCTAAAAATAGAAAATTGTAGGAAGTCCTCTTTTGTCTTTGTTAATAAACAATACATTTTTTTACATTTCTAGGTAAACTATTGGATGCTACTATGTCGACTAAAATTCTTAACGTAGTCCAATTTCCTATATGTACATCAATGTTCAATTTGCTTTTATACTTAATTTCTGGCATCTAGAGTAATAATTAACCCCTTGGAGTATGATTTAGCCGTGCAAAATCTAGGCCATGGTTACAACGACGTATATATCACTCGCGTTGTGACCCCGAATCTCTCTGGTAACATACATTTTCGATCCAAAATCCTGATCGCGAGTGAGACTCGTCAAATTAGTGCAAGGGATTAAAAAACAAAATTCCATATAAATGTTATCTACGTCGCATACTGTCTTTTTATAAAAAGCAGCTTTTAAAGAATTTGTAACGAGAACCCTAGAAAACTATAACGAAAACCGAAGAAACTTAATGAAGAAACTACAACGAAAACCTCTAGACATGCACACTCAACTATGCTTCGTTAAAATTCGAAAGCAGATTGTAACATTCTTTTGTCTGGCATTCGTGCACCATACTAAGAAGCAAACAGCTAGGCGAACGATGAGGGACACGAATTAGTTTCTTTGTTTCCATTGCATTCCTAGTTGTTTATGCAGTTGAAGTTGCCCCGCCCAAATTGCGGTACTCCTGACACGTGCTCGCGATGTGCAAACCCTAGTCACATGAACTCTTCGTGCACGTTTTCTGCAAATTATACAAGGTATCCAGCCGACCCTATTCAAGTTACGCGACAGAAACATTTTTTTCTTCCGCTGTAACTGAAAGAGATGGATGATATTATGCAGAACTATTTTATGTGTACCGTCCGTTCCGGCGAACCTGCCACTCGTGACATTATAGGGGACAGGAGCGTTGCTCGGTAGGTCTGTCTGCATCAGGGGTGGCCAATTTTTTACATACCATACGCCAATTTTGTTCACAGACGTTGTATGTGCCATACAACTCAAGCGCCTTTTAGAAATTCCTAGTACATTGCGCCCCGGCCCCGCGATAATCCGAGATTTTTAGTCTATCGTTTAATTACTAATCCTTCGTTAACACATTGAATGTCATGGGGGTCACCGGTGAGCCCCAACCGAATCGAATTACGGTAATTCACTCAATTAAACCATGATTATTTGAAAACATTTCTATATTATAAATAGTGCCAGCTAATGTGGTGACATTCAGCTAGGTGAACCTGCAATTATTAACAATGCAATTCAATCAAATGATTTAATATTATATTTTTTCCATTTCGAGTACTTTGTACTATGAAATTGTGCAGCATTCAACGTGTTGATGCAACATTTTAGATATGTATAACACAAATCGAAAGTAAAATTATAAATTCCTTATTCTTTTTCGTAAGTTATAAATTTCGGTTTGATTGATGTTTAAAAACCTATCAATATAATTACCGACGCTGGCGTCTTTAGTAGCTGAAATTTAGCCGACGTACAATGTGTTAGGTTCACAATTGGGGTAGGATAATAGGGATAGCGGTAGGATCTTCTTCGCTTAGGGGAGGAAAAGGAATAATTCAATCTCTCAATTAAATTAATTAATTTACGCAAGTTCAAAAGGCACACATTTATTGAAGCACTTAAAAAGAATAAGTCGGCGCAGGGATGTAACGCGCCACTTGTAATCATCCAATGTGCCACGTTTGGCGCATGCGCCACAGTTTGGCCACCTCTGATCTAAATGCATAGTGGAAGTCATAGATGTCGAAGAAGATTCTAAACATTATTAACAATGTGTAATTCTGTATTTCTACATATTGTGAAAAGAAATATGTATACTTTTTTTGTATGAAACATGTAGTTATGATATATGAAATATATATCTTGATTTTTAAATATGCTATCATTTTGTCTGGCTTAAATTGTCTATTAAATTGTATATTTCTCTTTTCACTAAGAGAGTTTATTTAAGTACTATCGATCTATGTCAAGTTTATAATAATATTCATATATTTGTACAAGGTAAATGTTACATATCAGAAATGTTCAAAAATATTCGCACGATTAGTACCCGACAATCGAGACTGCCGGGCATTAACACGTTGAGTGCCGCATGATTCTGTCGAGAAAAATATACAAAATGAAAATAATGTACTATCAACCTATGTACTTGAATTACGTTATTATTATTACAGGTTTATCTCGTTAACTGTCACTGCATTAGGTGGTATCACTTATAATATAGAAAAGTTTTCAAATAATCATCGTTTAATCGAACGAATTATAGTAATTTGATTTGGTTGAGATAACCGGTGACCGCCATAGCATCTAACGTGTTAATCGTGCAGTAGTGTTGATTCGAAGTTGAGATAAGATCCGAGCCGAGCTCCTGGTTGTCCTTTCTACAGAAGGGCAACGCGGACGAAAGAGCGAGACGACCGAAACGATCAAAACAAACAGATAAATGAGGAAATATTAATACAATGTTAAACTCTTTTATTTTTCATTTGTACTAATTGAAACTCTTACCAATTGAATTGTAAGGTTTTCCTGATTCAAACGAGACCAAGCACGATATATTTTGGAATATATTTACTTATTTAATAAATTATAATAATCTATTTTCGTCTAGTGAATTATGACTTAAGGTATGCCATGTTTGGTCTTGTTTTAATCAGAAAAATCTCACGAATGCGTTAGTAAAAGTTTTATTTAAAAAAAATCCCTCGCTAATCTTGACGAGTATAGACGTCATCTTAAAGTTCGAAATGATGCTAATTTAGTGAACGATCAATTCGTTATTTTTTCACATAAACGTGTAATTCTTCTTTGTTTCGCTTTGGTTTTTCATTCAAGTATAACCTAGGTACATTCGTCCTACGTTCGACGAATACACATTTCACAATTTTTTATTTGCTCAGAAAACCAGAGATTTCTCAAACTAAACTCCACAGTTAACAAGTTAAAAGCGTTAGAAAAAAGATTGTCCGTTAACTCTGTCTTTTACAATAACCTCTACGATCATGTGAATTTTTATAAGGAACCGTAGTCTAATGATCATCTATAAGGTGTTATTCGCAGTCATTCGAGAGCGTTCCGCTGAAGGTTCTGGGAAAATGTTAGCGGCTCATTGCCGTTCCCATTAAATAAAAAGAAGGTCGCGAAAGAGTCACGTCACACAGTTGAACAGCCGTTCGGCACGCAGATGCGTAAACTTTTGTATACGCCGTGTCGCTGTTGCACATTCGCGAAACAAGTTGCGTCGATCTTGCGGTAGTTTTGCTGTACCGTAACGTGAGAATTTTATCGGCGCTAACTGGCACTCTGCCTCGATGTCAGTAGACCGTTTCTACATTGATTAGCCCCTGTCGATCACTGTGACTGTCTGTTATCCGTAGTGTGATCACTCGTCATTCACGAAGGAATCACGGGGATTGCTCGTGAAACGCTGATGAAATGATCGGATAACTTGTGTTATACACATAGCAAGTGTAACGATGGTTATCCAGCATTAATTTAGAAAGTTATTAATCCAAGTTTATTAATGAAGTTATTAAACACTGAAATAGCACGAATGGTTTGCATGCCGTTTTTATATAAGATGTTAAAATAGATGATCCGAATGATTCAATTCACGCCAGTAACAGAAAAAAATAGGTTCTTAAATTTTCAAATTAAATGCCTGAACGTAATCTAGCACGTTGACTGCCATTTAGAGGGTTTCATATAATTACTTATTGTATCATAACAACGGTAAATGATGTTAGAATTAGTTATTAATGGTTTGGTATTACAGTTCTTAAATTATTTTATTATTTAGTTATTGGTATTAGTAAAAATTTTAATTTAACATCGGTTTTCTTTTTGTGATTGTTTACAAGTAATTTGGACCACGTGTCAACGTGTTAATAATTGTTTCTACTGGGTAGCAGAATGTATACATATTGTTTTCTACTATTGAAAGTTTATCGTATGCGATCGTATTAGAATATAGAAGCTAATACTACGATGAACAGATCAGGAAATTACTAATTAACTAAAATGTTAATAGAATTTTTCCTGAATGAAAATGATGTAGAGGTGTCGGATACAACGATGGGAAGATGATTGAATGGAGTAAGTGTTAAATGCGGATAATTTGTCAGAAAACACAAATTACTGATATGTATATGCGTATTTTCGTAATTTATATAACTCGTTATTAAATAATATTCTTCAAATTTTCTCAGAAACGAAAGATAGAAATTCTCAGTAGTTACAATCTTTTTTATTTGTATGATGCAAACAGGTTAAGGAATGAACGACTATAATATCTAAGAATGAGTACTTATATATAAGAGTGCAACAGTTATCATTTAACCAGTGAACTGCGTTTAACGTGTACACACGTCATCTTAAAGCTTGCAACGATACTAATTCTTCATTTTCTCGCATAAACACGTAATTCTTCTTTATTTTGCATTAGTTGTTTCATTAACCCTTTGCACTCGAGAGTTCCGTTGCAGAGCCATTTAAAATTTGTCATTAAAAATTGTAAAATTTTGTTATTAAATATACTATAACATTTATATCTATAATCGATAGAAAACAGTAAAATACATCTATGACTTTTCTTTTCATACGCGTATTATTTATTTATATGTTAAAAAG